CTTCGCCTCTACCCGCCGCCTTGACTACGCCACTGCTCTGGTCTCTGACCCAGCGCATCCTCCATCCGTCGGGGGTGCTCCTGCCCTTGGCAATGACGTCCTAGAGGACAAGCAGTACGAGCTTGCTTTCCTGTCCGAGCCTACTCCCCATCTCTGTTCCATGCTGCTAGTCCTTGAGGGTGACCCAGACGCCTTTGACATCCCGACCACTCGCACCTACGCTGAGGCGACCTCGGGACCCTGGGACTCTCAAGGCGCTTGCGCCTAAAGATCATCAGCGGCACTGCTTGCAGCTAGGTCTAGTTCTTGTAGACTCTCACTTGCTAGGACCTTGATTCTGTACTCCTCTATATTTAAACCTTTCATACAGGCCTTGTGGCTACTCTTCCAGTGGTCAGACTAATAGTGCCTCCCTAGTTTGCTCTTCTCGTGTTTGTACCCCTGCTAATTGGTCTTTGGACCCTTGCCTCATAGGTTGGACTAGTAGTGTTAGAAACAGAAAGGTTCAGTTTATTGATGAAGGAAAGGCATTACATAGGAAGAGAGAGATGAGCTAGGAAGGGAAGGTTGGAAGGGAAGGGGGGGTTAGGACCAATCACAAGGGAGGGAGGCTCCTTCCAAATGTGGTTGACCACCAGTTGGAGGTGGTCCAAGTGTGGTGTACCACCAGTGGTTTAGCCAACCCACTTGTGGTGCCCCCACAATTGTGGTCCTTGTGTTTGGGGGCTCCAACCACAATTGGGTTGGATTGACACCCCAACACAGGTGTACACCCAACTAGGGATGTAAACACAATATACACAACTAGCATAGCATGGTATATTCTAACACAACCCCATAGCATGCAAAGCTAGTGTATATGTAGGGTACAACCCCAGAATCAGGAAGGGGGGCGGGGCCCAAGGCCGAGAAGGCGGAGGAGGGCAGAGTGCGCGGTCTTCGGGAGGGCCTTGGTGAAGATGTCGGCCAAGTTGGCCTCTGCAGCGATCTTGCGGACCACCAAGTGACCTTGCTGGACCAACTCTCGAACGAAGAAGTAGCAGAGTTCAATGTGCTTGGAGCGGCCATGGAAGACAGGGTCCTTTGTGAGATGGATGGTGCTGGCGTTGTCGCACCAGAGGGTGGGACAGCGCTGAGGAGCACCGATCTCAGCAAGGAGGAAGGTGAGCCAGCGAGCCTCCTGAGCGGCCATGGTGCAAGCATAGAGCTCAGCCTCGCAGGATGAGAGGGCGATGGAGGAGGAGCGAGTGGAGCGCCAGCTGATGAGGCCGCTGCCAAGGGTGAAGCCGTAGCCTTGAGAGGAACGGCGATCCGGCTGGGAGTCAGCCCAGGAGGAGTCACTGAAGCCAGAGAGGAGGGGAGGAGAAGAGCCTCCGAGGGTGAGGACATAGTCCTTGGTACCACGGAGGTAGCGGAGGACCCGCTTCGCTGCAGCCCAGTGCTCATCAGTGTGGCGACCGGTACCGACGAATCGAGCAAGAACACTGATGGGGTAGGCAAGGTCGGGGCGGGTGCACATCATAGCGTACATCAGCGAGCCGACGAGCTCAGCGTAAGGATGGTCAGAGGAGGAGGGAGCAGGAGGAGGGGCAAGCTGGTGGTCGGTCTGCAGGGGAGTGGTAACCGGCTTGGCCTGCGCCATGTCGAACCGCTGCAAGACTTGGTCGATGTAGAAGGACTGAGAGAGGGTAATGGTGCGCGATGTGCGGTCCCGGGTGATGGTCATGCCCAGATAGTGCTTGAGCGCACCGAGGTCCTTGCACTTGAGGCGCGCATGCAGGGCGTCCTTCACTTGCTGCATGGCGGCAGCATCGTCAGCGAACAGGATCATATCGTCGACATACACCAGGATGAAGAAGCGGGTGGGAGAGGAGCGAAGGAAAAGGCTGGCATCAGACTGAGAGGCATGGAACCCCAAGGACTGCAGAGTGGCGGCCAGCTTGTTGTGCCACTCGCGAGGAGCCTGTTTGAGGCCATAAACCGGGCGGCGCAGCTCCCAGACTGTGTTGGCAGGGAAGGCTGCATGAAAGCCTGGAGGCCGCCGCAAGAGGACCCGCTCCTGGAGCTCGCCTTGCAGGAAGGCGTTGGAGACATCCATGGAGGCAATCTCCATGCCAATGCGAACAGCATAGTCGAGGATGGCACGGAGAGTTGGGAGCTTGGCAGTGGGAGAGAATGTCTCCCAGTAGTCGATGCCATGGGTTTGGGTGAAGCCCTTGGCACAATACCGGGCCTTGTAGACCGGCTCCTCACCCGGCAGCTGCTTCACTCGGAACACCCAGAGGCCTTCAACAATGACGTCGTCAGGAGAGGGGACAATGTTAACGAATGAGGCATTGCGGATGAAGGCCTCGCATTCAGCAAAGATAGCCTGGATCCACTTGGCAGCATCGGGGCAGGTGATGGCCTCAAGGAAGTTGGACGGAGTGAATCTGGTGGGAGCGGTAGCGATGCCAAGGATGAGGAGGCCAAGGAAGCCCGGGTAGAGAGGCGTGAGGGAAGGTGTTTGTTGCTGAACGCCAATGAGCTCCTCATGGGAGTCCTCAATGAAGGGAAGGGAGGGTGGGGGTGGTGTTGGCGAACCCCATGGATGGCCTATGAGTGGGCCGTGAGAGCGAGTGTGGATGCGTGGGAGGATGAACGGAGAGGTGGTGCGGCGATGCCGATGAGGTTGCTGCAGTGGCTGCTGCTGCTGCTGCTGCTGCTGCTGCTGTGGCTGCTGCTGGTGCTGCTGCTGCACCTCCTGCTGCGGCTGCTGTTGCTGCACTGCCTGCGGTTGCTGCTGCTGCTGCTGCTGCTGCTCCATCCGCTGCTGCACCTCCTGCTGCTGCTGCTGCTGCTGCTGCTGCTGCTGCTGCTGCTCCATCCGCTGCTGCTGCTGCACCTGCTGCTGCTGCTGCTGCTCCTTCTGCTGCTGCTGCTGCTGCTGCTGCTGCTGCTGCTGCTGCTGCTGCTGCTGCTGCTGCTGCTGCTGCTGCTGCTGCTGCTGCTGCTGCTGCTGCTGCTGCTGGTGCGATGAGGCAGAGTGAGCAGGGGAGTCAGGGACAGCTGGGTCGTAAATGTCACCTGAGGAAGGAGGAGGGGGAGGAGCAGGATTTGGAGGAAGGAGGGGAGCCTGGGGAAGGAGTGGGGGAATGACAGCATCAGCCCAGGTGAGGGGGCGGGAGAGAGGAGGAAGGGGGTCGGAAGGCGGAACAGAATGATAGAACGGGATGCTCTCATCGAACACCACGTCACGGCTCTGTAGGAGGCGGCCTGAGGACGGGTGAAGGAAGAGGTAACCAGGGGCAGAGCGAGCGTGGCCAAGGTAGACACACTCAATGGCCTTGGAGGCGAGCTTTCCTGCCTGCCGAGAGCGGTCAGGTGGGGGGATGAGGACATATGCCTTGCAACCCCAGATACGGAGAATGGCAGCATCTGGCTTGGTGCTAGCCCAGAGCTCAGTGGGAGTGACAGACTGGCGTTGAGGATGTGGGTAAAGATTAGTAAGGAGAGCAGCATGGACAAGGGCATAGCCCCAAAGAGAAGGGGGCGTGGAGGCATGAGTGAGGAGGCAGCGGGCCGTCTTGGTGATCTCACGAATGCGACTCTCAGCAACACCGTTCTGCTGAGGGGAGTGGGGAAGGGTATGAGTCTGCTGGATGCCATGGGTTGAGCAGTATGAGGAGAGGGTGCGGTTGAGAAACTCACCACCGCCGTCGGAATGGAGGCGGCGGATGGGGCGACCAAAGTGGACTCGGCACTGCTCGGCCCAGGTAACGATGACAGCAGGGGCCTCGGCCTTCGTGTGGAGGAGGAACACCGAGGAGTACCTGCTGTGGTCGTCAACTAGGACAAGCAGGTACCGGTGCCCTTGGCGGGAAGGGGAAGGGTTAGGGCCCCAGAGGTCCATGTGGACGAGGTCAAGGGGGGCAGCAGCAAAGGAAGGATGACTGAGGTGAGGCTGTTGTTTGAGCTTTCCATGAATGCATGTGGCGCATGGGGGAGCGGAAGAGGACGGGAGGGGAGGAAGAGTGGGGGGGAGACCGTCAAGCAAGCGGGAGGAGATGGCTTTACGAAGTGTGGGAAAGTTCATATGACCAAGGCGGTGGTGGATGAGAACAGCGGGGTGGGACAGTGCGCGACAAGAGCATGGGGAGGAGGTGGAGTTGGAGGAAGGTGGCTCTAGAGGGAGGGGAGGGGGGAGAGTGGAGGTGCCTGCACGAGTGGTCACGTGGCATGAGGAGGGGCGGGGTGTGCGGAGGATGTACTGACGAGAGCGAGGGCAAAGTGGGAGGCGATGAAGGAGGCGGCGAGTGGGGCCGTGGAGGAGGTCACAGTAGGTGGCAGAGGCGGGGAAGAGGGTAGTGATGCCAGCCTGTTGGAGTTCACGAATGGAGAGCAGGTTATGACGAAGGGAGGGAATGTGGAGACCAGTGACCACTCCAGAGGGGAAGGGGGGGCAGGGGAGGGTGGAGAGATGAGTGCAAGGGATGGAGAAGCTGGAATCAGCACCATGAACGTTGGTGGGGAAAGGGAGGGAGGTGAGGGTGCCGGCGTCTTTGAGGGCAGTTTCAGTGGCACCACTATCGAGAACAAAGTCAATCGTGAGCGAGGAGGGAGCTGAAGACACGGGGTACTGGAAATCACTGGCATTAAAAACAGAGGGATACATGGAAGTGGAAGCAGGGGAAGAACGCATGAGCTCGCCTAGAAAGCTGGAGTGGGAGGCGGGAGCACTAGGAGAAGGAGAGCCCCAGAGGGGAAAGCCAGGAGGACCTGGTGTGGCTGTGGCAGCCATGGCGGCGGTGCCAAAGCCAAGCTGCTGCTGCTGCCATGCAGATGCTGCGGCTGCGGCTCCTGCAGCTGCGGCTGCAGCCTGACCACCAGAGCCCCACTGCTGCTGCTGCTGCAGCAGCTGCAGCTGCTGGAAGCGGCGAAACTGCTGCAGCTCCTGGGGAGTTATGGGGTCAGCGACAGAGGAGGAGGAGGAGGAGGAGAGCTGAAGATGAGAGGGGAGGAAAGACGGAAGAGTTTGACATCCTGGAGAGAGGGGCGGGGATCCATGGCAGACCAGCGTGGGGGGGTGCCATTGTTGCCGCGCTCGAACCAGGCGTCATCATACGCCTTGAAGCAAGTTGCGGGGGGATGGTTGGTTTGGGTGCAGCGCTCACCCGCCCTGGGACCAAAACGGCGAAGATAGGAACATGGGGGAAGAGTGCCAGGGCGGCCACCACGGCTACCAGATGAGCCACCACTGCCTCCACCACCACCACTGCTGCCACCCTCGACCCCGCCACCACCGCCGCCGGCTCAGCTGCCCCCACAACCGCCACCTCCACCCCCTCCCTGAGGGTTGGTGCGGCCGCCACGTGGGCGCCCGCCACGACGCGGCTGTGTGACTGCAAGCTGGGGGTTTTGGGACGCGGTGGAGTTCAGGCCGGAGGGGGGGGTTGAGAGAAGGCGGGCCTCAGCGTCAATGATCCATTGGACCACAGTGTCAAGGGAGGCGCGGGGCTGAGCCTCAGTGAAGGCGATGACGCGCACTTCATATTGAGGGGAGAGGCCTTCGAGGAGACGGTAGATCTGAAGGTTGGGGGGGAGAGTAGTCTGGCGAGCCTCAAGGCGGGAGGCAAGGTCCAGGAGACGGCTGGTGTAGTCAACAGCGCCAGCACTATGTTCGATCGTGATGCTGAAGTATTCCTTGAAGAGCGGTCCGACAGCATCGAAGTCGGTGCGTTCGAACATTGCCTCAAGCTCGAGCCAGATCTGGCGGGAGCCGATGCGACGTTCCTGGAAGTTGCGCATGAGCGCAGACGGGATGGCAAGGAGAAGGGCACCAGTAGCACGGCTGTCCGCCTCGAGCCAGGCGCGACGACGCTCAGCAAATCGCGCAGAGTCAGCGGCATAAGCGGCGGCGGTAGCGGCATGCTGGGTGCGGAGGGTTGCCGACCGCTCGTGTTCCTCCAACGCGATCAGGTAATCAGTATGGAGCACGAGGAACTCACGACGCTGAGTAAGGAAGAGCTGCTCAACTTCAGCGGTGGCAGCGCGAGTGCTGGTGCCAACGGGTACTATGGGGGGCGAAGGTTCCTCGCCGGGATGGGGAATGAGAGGGGGGGGATCGCCAGGGTGAGGCGGCGGGTCCCCAAGGTCACCCTCTGGGAGACCAAGCATGATGTCCAGGAGGCGGAACGGCAGGACATAAGCACTGCCGAGGACGCGGTGGAGGCTGCCGACGAAGGAATACCAATTGGTTGCTGAGTTGTCGGCAGCGCGCACGAGATGATCGAGGGTCGAGACGTCGACGGGAGGGGGAAAGGATGACATTGGTGACACGGAGTGGGAGGAAGGCGACGGCGGGTGGACCCGCGGTGGCCGGGAGGGAGCGGCGGCGGGTGGACCCACGGCGGCTCAAAGAGGAGGGGAGGATGGGGATGGCTGTAGATACTGCTGCTGCTGCTGCTGCTGCTGCTGTTGCTGTTGCTGCTGCTGCCGCTGCTGCTGCTGCCACTGCTGCTGCTGCCGCTGTTGCTGCTGCTGCTGCTGCTACTCCTTCAGCTGCTGCTGCTGCTGCTGCTGAGTCTGCTGCTCCTTCTGGTGCTGCTGCTGCTTCTGCTGCTGCTGCTACGGCTGCAGCAGTGGTAAGGCGGCGATGAGCAGGTGCAGGTGAGGAGGCAAAAGATGGGGAAAGATGGCAGTTAGCTGATGAAAATAGGACTTGGTAGAAATTTCAGTAGCACTTCGTGATCACATCCAGGAAAGTGTGCAAACTTCGGAAAGCGATATCTGACAATCCAAGCGATGAAACAGTCCGAAATTTTACGACGTTGTAGCTGACACCAAGAGCGTTCTTTTGCAAGTCGAATCACTCAATTCTGTCAACTATCGAGCGAGCTATGGCGTTTGGCGCATTGGGGGTTTTTGAAAATCCACCCAACAGAAAACTAGTTGAGAGGCGGCGGCTAGGAGTCTAGCAGCGGCGATGGAGGGGACGGCAATGAGGTGCACGTCGGAAGGGGACGGGGCGGAAGCGTGGGGAAGGACCGGGATTTAAAAGTTGGCGTGAGCCATTATTGCTCTATACCATGTTAGAAACAGAAAGGTTCAGTTTATTGATGAAGGAAAGGCATTACATAGGAAGAGAGAGATGAGCTAGGAAGGGAAGGTTGGAAGGGAAGGGGGGGTTAGGACCAATCACAAGGGAGGGAGGCTCCTTCCAAATGTGGTTGACCACCAGTTGGAGGTGGTCCAAGTGTGGTGTACCACCAGTGGTTTAGCCAACCCACTTGTGGTGCCCCCACAATTGTGGTCCTTGTGTTTGGGGGCTCCAACCACAATTGGGTTGGATTGACACCCCAACACAGGTGTACACCCAACTAGGGATGTAAACACAATATACACAACTAGCATAGCATGGTATATTCTAACAAGTAGTGCCACCCTGAGCTATGTGTCTCTTGCTCTGCACTACCCGTTATCTAGCCTAGGGGGTATGTCAACTTATACATATGTTGCTACCATATTCCCCCAGATATACATTGACGGAATCAATTGTCCGAATGTTTTGCATTAATAATGGTTTTTGGGCTTTCCGACCACTGTACATAAAGTCTCGGTGTTTAATGGTGGTACGCTTTGGGAGGGGCACATACTGGATGTGTTCACACCACTAAAATCCATGATAGTACACTGGATCTAACTCAGTGCTAAAAGATGTCCAAAGAGTACATCCGGACAATTGTTTCCCATGACAAATAGCAAACTTCCGAGCAGCGTTTCTAGTACCTAGTCCACCGACACTTGGCCTTGATCACCACGTGCACCCTCCTAGGCATTTTATCTACGAGGCTAGTGCAAAGCTTTGCAGGGATCTTCTTGCACTCTTCTTGGACCCACCCTTTTGCATAAGGGGATGAGCACTAGGAAAACCACGAAGTATTTAAGCGTATGCAAGGGTATTGTGCACGATTTTAGATTGAATGTAATCTCTGAGACCAGCCATGCTGAGTTGTGGCCAAAGATGCCATAAGTTGATTGACTCCGTCTTATCATGAATTGTCTTCGTCGTACCGTTGTAGGGTAAAATTACGAGCAGAGTGGCGAAAACTAGCGTATCTGCCGGGAAACATAGGGTAACATAGCATGGTCGATTGTGCACCCTTGCACTATTAGAATCTTGCTAGGATCCGTAGGTCTCGTCACGGTGCAGCAGTCGAAGAAGTCACGACTGTTCAGAACGAATATCCGGGTTGAGACCTGGCAAGGAAAAGGGTCACTCCAGCGCCACATACTCATGCTCTCCAAGCCATTCTAAGCCATGTGTCCCGCTTAGGCTTGGAATGGCTTGGAGAGCATGAGTTTGTAGCACTAGAGTGACCCTCTTCCTCACCAGACCTCAACCCGGATATTCTTCCCCACCAGTCAGGGCTTCTTCGACTGCTCCACCGTGACGACACCCGTAGATGTTAACGTGATTCTATTAGTGAAAGGGTGCACAATCGACCCTGCTATGTTTCCCTAAGTTCCGCGGCACACACGCTGGTTTTCGCCACTCTGCTCATAATTTTACCCTACAACGGTACGACGAAGACAATCCATGACAAGATGGGACTAATCAACTTATGGCATCTTTGGCCACACCTCAGCGTGGCAAGTCTCAGAGATAACATTCAATATGGAATCGTGGACAATAGTCTTGCATACGCTCAAATAATTCGTGGTCTTCCTAGTGCTCACCCCCTTATGCAAAGGGTGGGTCTAGGAAGGGTGCGAGAAGATCCCTACAAAGGTTTGCACTAACCTCATCGATAACATGCATAGGAGGGTGCAGGTGGTGATGAAGGCCAAGTGTTGGTGGACTAGGTACTAGAACCGCTGCTCGGAAGTTTGCTCTTTGTCCAGGGAAATCATTGTCCGGATGTACTCTTTGTATATCTTTTGCCACTAAGCTAGATCCAGTGTACTATTATGGATGTTAGCACTGTGAACAGATCCACTATGTGCCCCTCCCAAAGCGTACCACCATTAAACATTAAGACTTTATGTATAGTGGTCGGAAAACCCAAAAATCCTAATTAATGCAAAACATTTGGACAATGGTTTCCGTCACTGTAGGCACACCCCTTTATTTGGCCCATTGCGCTTATGGAGTGCAAGTGCGCTTATATCCGTTATTTCATTATAAGCGCACCCATATTTTTGAAAATGTATTTCCTATAGGCGCATCACATTTTTGTCAAGACTTATATTAAAGGAGGGATTTCTATATCGGAGTTTCTGCCGTGCCCCTCCTGATCGCCTCCCGAACCAGAAGCGCGAATTTCGTTCACTGTGTTGGCTCTGATTATTTCGCAATATTAGACATTCCCAACTAGATCTGGGCGCTGAAGCTTTGTCAGCAAAATTCTCGTGTTTTGTCAATATGCTGCCCTTTGGAAACATACGCGCTAGAACACAAATTTAAAGTACATTTTCACGTGCTCAAATAGTTTTCCATAAAATTCCTTTCATAAGCCCTGGGCTTATAAAATTTATTCGATTTCAAACGCATGCCACTATTGTTAGGCATTTTCTATAAGCCCCTATGCGCCTATATCCGGGTGATTACGGTATGTAGAATTTATAGACTAGATAGTTGTATGTTGTTAGAGGGTACAACCAGAACACATATATTCCCCCTTGCTCACTTGTATCAATTCATTCTTTCTAGTTGACACCTCTAAGAACACAACCCTATCTAGCCTATAACTTCTACATAGAAACACAGGCACTGGTATATATAAGTTGACACCAACACCTACCCCAGCCCTATTATATGGGTCGAAGGGTATTTTACCCTGATGTCCTGAGGCCTGGCTCTATGGATCTCTTCGAACCAGGGTGGTGAATATCCAAGGATAAGGCCTGGTAGGTACCGTAATCCCCCGGATAAACACAACGGGTATACTACAAAATTCATGCTGAAAAGGGGGGGGGTGGGTGCTCTATTTCGCGTTTAGGCTATAGCACCCTGGTGTTATATTTGAGGATGAAAATTTTTAAAGGTGCATAGTGATCTGTGTATATTCAGCTATCCAACCATCTTATTTTGGGCTCGATCGGGCATCTAACGTGCGCGATCTGAAGGTTGGAAGTGCGCCAAAGGGATAAGCCCGTTACAGCGAGCCATGCCGCTGGAAACTAGTAGAGGACCACAACACGAAACTCTCTCACGCGCGGGACACCTCTGCTGTCACTTGGCGATGTCGCGTTACCTCAGGTGACACGTTGAACGTGTCGCCCGCCAATGACGTGACACTTAGGCAAGGGGGCCTCAGCAGCGGTATTTCTAGGCGAACCGTTGTGAACAGGCCTGTGTTTGTACCCTTTCTCTCTCAATCTTTTCTCCCAAACGCAGGATGAACGCTGGAATCTGCATTCTCTTCAGCCGTAGACCAGCTAAAAATGCTAGCACCCCTAGCCGTGTTACACATACCACAGGTTCTCCTTCTAGTCGCGCAGCACCAGTAGTGCAACCGACCGCTACGGGATGGTTGCATCGTGGCTACGTAACGGCGGAACCCTATGGCTTGCACTCGGCTTGTCGTCCTTGTTTGTCTGTGTGCATGCATGGCATGGAATGAATTGTGAGTCTATGCCATTGCTATCTAGTGCTTGTATGTGTGTTTGAATGGTGTATCACAATGTGGTTTGTGTCGGTCAAGACATTAGCGAGTTTTTACAACTCGCATGTCAAGTCGTCGTTTGCGTATCGTATGTGGTTTTTCTATTTTGTCGAGTGTGAAGTGTCCATCGTGTCGCAGGTGTGTGCAGCAAGCCCCCATCAACTCAAGAAGAATTTATCTTGCAGAACCAAGACCAAGAGCTCAAGATTTCAAGCCCAAGGGAGACGGATAAATATTAAATAGTGAAAATAGTAACGCTACTTCGTGTAGTGTTACATTTCACTTGGTGTAGCCCCTTGGAGGGTTGGTTTCGAGACTCTTCATGGTTGGGGACTCTGTGGTGGTGTACCACCAACCTGGACCTCGGCTCTTGGGGTATGTAGAGGCTGGGAACCATCTCCCTCTCGAACTCTTCTTGCTAAGTTTGTACTCCTAAGACTATAGTGGCTACTGTACCTCCAGCCAGTCAAACCGCCATAGCGTCGTGAAATCTTCATGGAATGTTATGATTCAACTTGCTGCTGATAGAGAACAGAAACGCGCTCTAGATCCAGTTTACAGATCACCGTTTAAGGCACTAATCAGATCGGCATCAATATTTGAAGCTGTCTGACGGAATTCTGACTGTGCACAATTTCTCTCATTTTAGGCACATCTGAGCCTATTGTGATTATAACAAGTGGTATCAGAGCC